CATTGAAATGCTTTTTCATTGTCTTGAGCTGTTCCAATTCCATATTTATAACAAAATCCAAGATTATTTTGTCCATAGATATCCCCACCTTCAGCAGATTTCAAATACCATTGAAATGCTTTTTCATTGTCTTGAGTTGTTCCTATTCCATATTGATAACAAAATCCAAGATTATTTTGTCCATCGATATTTCCACCTTCAGCAGATTTCAGATACCATTGGAATGCTTTTTCTTTGTCTTGAGTTGTTCCAATTCCATTGCGATAACAATATCCAAGATTTTTTTGTCCATATATATCACCACCTTCAGCAGATTTCAGATACAATTGAAATGCTTTTTCATTGTCTTGAATTGCTCCAATTCCGTATTGATAACAATATCCAAGATTATTTTGTCCATCGATATTTCCACCTTCAGCAGATTTCAGATACCATTGAAATGCTTTTTCATTGTCTTGAGTTGTTCCAATTCCATATTGATAGCAAAATCCAAGATTGTTTTGTCCATCGATGTTTCCACCTTCAGCCGATTTCAGATACCATTGAAATGCTTTTTCATTGTCTTGAGCTGTTCCAATTCTATATTGATAACAATATCCAAGATTATTTTGTCCATCGATGTTTCCACCTTCAGAAGATTTCAGATACCATTGAAATGCTTTTTCATTGTCTTGAGTTGTTCCAATTCCATATTGATAACAATATCCAATATTTTTTTGTCCATAGATATCTCCACCTTCAGCAGATTTCAGATACCATTGAAATGCTTTTTTATTGTCTTGAGTTGTTCCAATTCCATTGCAATAACAAATTCCAAGATTATTTTGTCCAGTGGCATTTCCACCTTCAGCCGATTTCAGATACCATTGAAATGCTTTTTCTTTGTCTTGAGTGGTTCCAATTCCATTGCGATAACAATATCCAAGATTATTTTGTCCAACGGCATTTCCGCCTTCAGCAGATTTCAAACACCATTGAAATGCTTTTTCATTGTCTTTAGTGGTTCCAATTCCATTGCGATAACAATATCCAAGATTATGTTGTCCATCGGTATTTCCACCTTCAGCAGATTTCAGATACCATTGAAATGCTTTTTCATTGTCTTGAGTTGTTCCGATCCCATCATAATAACAATCTCCAAGATTATTTTGTCCATCGGTATTTCCACCTTCAGCAGATTTCAGATACCATTGAAATGCTTTTTCTTTGTTTTGAGTTGTTCCAATTCCATCAAAATAACAATCTCCAAGATTATATTGTCCAAAGGAATTTCCACCTTCGGCAGATTTCAGATACCATTGAAATGCTTTTTCATTGTCTTGGGTGGTTCCAATTCCTAACTTATAAAGAAGACCGAGAGTCATGGCATTTTGAGGGTTTTCCTGATGATTAATTAATAATTTAATAATATGTTCCGAAGTCGTTTGATTGTTCTCAACGAACGTGTTAATACAGATCATTAACGCAGAATCAAAAGACCCCTTATCTAGCTGATCGACAATAAATTGATATAATTCATTCAACGTGTTACGTTCAAAACCCTCAACAATATCACTTGCTATCAAGAGATTCTCAGTACCATCAATAAGATCTTCTCTTTCGTAAAGTGCAAGCTCAGGTGTTTCTGATATATCTGATTTGATAATATCTAATGAATCGAGCAGTTCTTTAACTTGAATAATTTTAGGCCTCTTGACTGGGTTTTTGTCCCAACAGGCTAATAAAAGTTAAAAAATATTAACTGTCTAGATACGATTATACATATAAACATAAATAACGAAACATAATATTTATTCCTTATAAGCTAACCTTCATAAATATCGATATACTCTTGAGGCGTTCCGTCTATTCTCTTTTCTCTGAGGCCATCAAAAATTCGGAACATTAACGTTATGTCATATCCGCTCGAATTAAAAGGGGGATTTCCGCTTGTGAGCTCCCAGAGCAAAACCCCTAAACTATAAATATCCGAGTTCTTAGTTTTTTTAGGATAACAACCTTCAATTGTCATTCTAAAACATTGTGGATCAACATATGGTATAACACCAAGTGGTGCATTGGCGGTTTGGGTATTTGAAGCATCCTTTAATTTCTTAGACAGCCCAAAATCGGCAAGTTTCATGCTTCCATGACGGATGAGAATATTCCCTGGATGCTAAGTAAGGTAATAAATAAATAAATATAACAAAATAATAGAAATATAACAAAATAATAGAAAATAACAAAATAATAAGAATATAACAGTATGATAGGAATATACAATATAATAGAAATATAAAAATATAAAAAAATAATAGAAATTTATCCATATAACTTAATTACCAAATCTCTATGGATAATGTCTTTTTCGTGTAAATACATAATTGCGTTTGTGATTTGTTTAGCTATGCGTAATTTATCATCCCATTTTAATAATTTAAAATTTTCTTTAAGGTATTGCCGCAAAGTTCCATCAGCATATTCAATGACCATAAGATATTCGGTTTTTTTCGGATCTGTTTAATTAATAAAAAAATCAATTATCATTGCAGTTTATTATAATATATACGTACTTAGAATAATTACCTTTCTTTGAAATTCCGTAAAGTCGTAGAATATTGTCATCAAAGTCAACATCTTGATGTAACTTAAGCTGCGCGGAATATTTATTTATGTTAGTTATTATTTTATACAATTGCTATATACTGTACATAATAAAATGAAATACCTCATTAAGAAATATATTTGCTGTATTTTTATCAAAAATTTTAACTTTTTTAATCGCTACTGTTTTTTTGATACTCTTTGAAGAAGCTTTATATACTTTTCCAAAGCTACCACTTCCTATAACTTCCATATCCTCGAAGTCGCTGTATTTGAGCTTCCTTAATGGCAATTCTTTTATAGAATTTTCGAGTTCTTCTACCCATCCATTTTTCGATTGTGAGTTTTCTAATAGAGACATTTGAATTGCAACTGTGTAACTTGTACGGCATGACTTAAATACTGTATATACAGTATATTGTAGTCTGCATTTGTTGCACAAATTTCTCGAAGTTACAATTTTATTTACGTAATGCTGATCGCAGTATTTGACTAGCGTCTCTTAAACACGCGCCATAACCACAGTATTTGGAAAAGTTTTGATCAAAACGAAATCGCCAATTCTTCAATTTTGCGTCTCGTCTCCTGTTATGTTTGCCTTGCTCTATAATCAGTTTAATATATTTTATGTTATGATAAGTAGAAATATAAGTTATCGTTTGTAAAAACGAATTTAATGTACTGTTTATTGTAACGGGCAAACGGCGAGTCTGTCGCTAATGCCAACCGAGGTTCGCGTAACTGTTACTAAGAGTTTATGATAGTAAATATGTGATTAAGGCGCACGACTTGACCGAGTTCTTCTCACTTTTCGCACTCACTTTTTCACACCTTTATTTCTAATATTTTGCTTACTCATTTATACATTAAGCCCAATTATGCCATTATATTTAACATTATGTTGCTTTCGAAAATAATTATTCACAAGCATATTAAGTTCGTTTTTGGATATAGGCTGTAGCTGAATATTGCTCTTGTATAAAAAGAAAAAATGACAAAGACAAGATAGTTTTATGCGATAGACATCGATTGAATTCTCATTCAGACATTTTGCCAGAGTCATATGTGATAAACTTCTCAAAAGTTGATACATTTAAATCATCAGGTAAAACTTTGGTGTAATCAGAACCATTAATGTTAATAAAAGGCATAAAGAAAGTTTTTAGAGGTCTCATCTTTATTTATGTTTGAGCGAAAAGAATCAAACACGTCTACATTGTTATATATGAACTTCTTGCCTGCCAAAAACACACGTTTAATATTTCTTGAGTACTTCCTCGGCTATATCGCGAGTGATGTTGGTACTCTGATATTCTATTGTGACTGTCAATCGGCGAGTCTGTCGCTAAATTGGGCAGAACGTTGCGTAACCGTCGATGAGGTAAAGGGTCTTAGCGAAAATTTGAGGCGTGTACGATTTGGTCGAGTAAAGGATAATTCAATCAATCAATATCCTTTATTTACTTTTTTCTTCTCTCTTTTTATACATTTTAGTTAGGACGGTTTTTCTATATTTCTGAAAAGTAAAGGTGACATCGATTATCTAATGTCTTCTCACGATTCTCCCTAATTACATAATGCTCGGTCACAATTATTTCATATTATCTAATCGTTTTCACAATCCTCTCTTCATTACCTAATTCTCCGACACGCTATTCTGCTACTATTTTAACCAACTTTCGCTTACATTTTCCCTCCATACCACCTGGAGTACCATGATCGGAACGGGTCCTTCGCAGCACTATCGCGATGATTAGTCACGTGACTGGAATCGCGTCATGATTTTTACCCTCTGACACTATCTCTTAACCTCCACCTCCTTTTTTAGAATTAAATACGTAATCATTCGGTTGCCTAGTCTGAAATCTTTTCAAGCTCAATAGAATTTTCGTGTTAGTAAAAGAAACAGGATAATATCATTATTTTCATTGATAATTTGATCTACAGTATGTATATGCAGAATTTTACACAATGTTTTGCTAAAGTTTATGTTTAGACTTTGTTTACAGAAATTGATTCATAATTGTCTGCATTTGTCTTATTCTTGAAAAACCGATTGATTTCAATATGTTTGTCGCCATTCAGATTTGTTTTGGATTTTCTGATAATGCAATAATTTCAAATCCATAAATTCACATAATATTGTCCACAATAATATTGACCTTTGACTAATTATGTGAATAATTGTATATATAAATTTATTTTAGACTTGTCTTAAAAATCACAATATTTTTGTTGTATGATTTTGGTGCTAATGAAAGGGAATTATCAAGTATCTACCTTCGATTGAGCGGTAACTACTTTCAGCAATAAGCAATTAAAAATTGCAATTAAATTGAATTGTTACAATTAATAATTGATATTGGCAATAACTTTACAATCAATAGTACAATAATTGCAAATAATTGATAATTAGCTTATTTAGATTCAATTTCATCATAAACAGATTGTAAAAGTCTTCCGTTCCAGAAACAGCTATTAAATTTTAAAAATAAAATCATTTCTAATATACTTGGAAGCATTTTTTTCTTTGGTCAGTAATAACCAACTTTGCTTGACTAAAAAATCGCTCCACTAAGTTTGAAGTAGGTGGAATAAATTTTAAGTCAGGATACTTGGACAAGCGAGGTCTTTTCAAAACTCTTTCAACAAAAGATTCTTGTTCTCCTATTTCATCTGTTTTTATTTTTAAACATTTCATGGCTGTTGTTTCTTTTACTGTTAAATTTTCGTTTCCTGTTATTACTTTGCAAATTTCAGATTCAAATGAAGGATTGCATACAATCAAAACATGTTCACTTAAATATTCTTCAACAATTGGATATTTATCAATCAAAGCATCAAATAAACAGCATACAGTAAAAAGATCAATACTATCTTCTTGAATCTTTCTGGATACTGATTCAAAATCAGTAAGCTTTTCCAATAATTTTTTAAGAGAATTTTGTTCGCTTCTAGAAGGAATAAATTTAAACAATTCTTTATCCTCTTCATTCAAATAAGAAACCAATTCGAAAAATCTTGAAATCATTGCAAAAGTAGATGACCATCTAGTTTCATCTCTCTTGATAGGTTGAAGATCACAACTGCAATGTAATTTGGCTACTTGCTTTATAGTTGAAAGCTTTATCATTAGCTTATTTATATTTTCCAACAAAGTATTATATTCTTCAAGAAAACGCTTTACTGCCAAGTTGAGTTTATGGCTCGCACATCCAATTAGAGAAATATTTAATAATTTAGCAAGTGCCTTATTTGTATTGCAGTTATCTCCAACCAAAAATAATAGACAATCCAATTGAAGAGCGACTTTATAATACTTCAAGACAGAGATAATAAACTGTTTGTGAGCTTCAGCAGTTAATGTATATTCCTTGATAGTATCTTCATAATAATCAGGAATTGGTTGAAATGCAAGTAACGGTAATTGACATCCTTTTTTTCTATCATAGTAGCAGGCAAATAAAGCAATATAATAATCACTTCCTTCTTTCCATCCATTCAATAACAGTCCAAAAGTATTAGGTAATTCCTTTTTTAAATTTTGCTCAACCTTTTCTGTTAAGATTTTCATATGCTTTTTCAACGTATTTGAGAAAATAGGATCGTACTTAAACATTTCATGAACTAGAGGATCATCCACAAAACTAAGAGGCAAATTCAAATGAATAATAAATTTGATCCAACTTAAAATATTTTTAACTGCTGGAGTAAGTGCAAAAACATTTTTCACATTCTTTTTTATGATTTCTTGATAATCTTTATGCTTACTACTAATATGACTAAAAGTATTTGACCAGCCGGTTCCCTTTTCTTTTTTAATGGTTACGATAGAAACTCCTTCATCATCTGTGCAATATTTGCATTTCCAATATCCTGTTTCTTTATCATCTTTCTTTTCTTCAATAAAGAAAAACCGGATTATAGTTTTATTAGCCGTGGGAGTTTTTTTTGGCATTGAAAAATCAAAAAAAAAATTGTTACTTTAGTAATCAATAATTGAAATTGATAAACTATTTCAGTTATGACGTATAATTGCAATTATTGATGATTCAATTATTTATTACATATCACTGGATCTAATTGTATTGCCAGATTTGTTCTGATTGGCTTCAGGAGTAACTACATATGGATAATTATTAATTTATATTAAATTATCTGTATCTTGTTAATCATATGTTGAAATATAACTATTTGAATTATTTGTGAATATGGCTTGCATAATTGATGTAACTGTGATAATTTGTTAATTATTTGTAAAAAATAAGTTGTTTATGGTTTTTTGGACTTTGAAAAATTCAAGTGTGGAAAGTAAATAATTTTAGAATTGTCTAATAATAAGAAAAGATTGTTCTTATATACTAAGATATTTGATGAAGGATAAATGATTGCCTCTAATATCTTTTTCAATTAACATATGCTATTTTCTTTATTTATAATATTGATTTGATTTCAAAATAGATATCAATTGTAATTGAGATTACTGTTAATACCTTTTTGTTTATTTTTTTTTTGTTGATATATCCAAGTTTATTGTTATTTTGATAAACAAAAAATTATTCCAGTTGATAGCTAAACTTTTTTTTAATTTTACTAATTATTACTATAATAAATGCTTAATAAATTGTTCTGATAGTTTTAAAGGTATTGAATTTTATATAAATAATTGAAACATTTCCTTGATACAATAAAAAGTTTTTTTAAATTAAAATTATCTAGTATTTGAAAAACTTAATAAGTGGTAGTATTGATATAAGAATAATATATGAAATTATTTTTATATAAACTATAGCAAACAATAGTTTGCTTAAATTAATAAGAATAATATTTAAAAGAGTATATATTAGATTTAGAAGTTTTGTTTTAAAAAATGAGTCTTTAAGAATATTTGATTTGCTTTTCTTAAAATTTTTTTTGATTATCAAAAAAATAATTTTTAAAGAATTTAATATATTTGAGAAAAAGTTTTTTTTTATTCTTTTTCTTTCAATTACTTTATATTTAAAAAATCAAAAAAAAATTTAAAATTTTCTAAGTTAGTAAATATAACTGTTACTTAACTTTATTTAATATATTAATATTGGTTTTAAATTTTTTTTTAATATTAGTTAAATAGCATTAAGTAAGCAAGTTAATATTTAATTTATTGTATATTTTGTATCTAAAAGATATTGTTTTTTTTTTTTTTTTTTTAAGTTGGCTAAAGGAATTAGATGCGAGACTTTATTTACTAATTAATAGTACTATTATTACATCAAACATCTTTACAGACCAAACTATTGCTATTCTAGAATATAAATTAATGCTACCTAGTAATTACTATTTCCAGTAGTACTGGTTTTCCAAAGTCCAATCCAACTACCTTAGTTGACTAGCTTGTATCAAGTAGATGGGCTTGCACCAGGTGGGACTTATACAGGATGAAGAAAGTCCTACTACTAGTTTAAACCTACCATCCTATTGATCCAATCATATTTTTCAGCTGCCTGCCAGGAGAAAGTCATATGGAATATTATTATAGAGACTAATCCCAGTATTCCAGTCACTGTTATCACTGATCCTTGGAATGTGTTACTAGCATAATATCGCACTACTATTTTCACCACCTGTGGAATTGGTGTCCTTGCTTGGATTCCGATTTAATTTTGACGATTCTCACCAAATTCACTTGGTCTTGACAATTTTTGCCCAGATTGTCACCATTTATGACAGATAACTTTTGCCTTTTCAGTTCAATTTAAGTTCAGGAGAATACCACATTGGGATAGATCTTCAAGCTTTATATTGGGATAGATCAGCTTAGAATTAGTCTCTTTTTATATTGTGTAATAGAGTCTGCCATTGCCAGTTTTGGTTTAAGATTTGTGAGCTTATTACTGGAGTTAGACCAGAAGCCTTTCCTTGTGCAACCTTTCTTGCTTCAATCTGATTTCAGCCTGCGATCGTCGGGAAGACCAGAGGTCCCATCTTCATGCAGCCTAACTAATTTTTGGAAGATGATTTGCAACTGATTAGGTACGACATGAATTGGAAGCCAGTTAACCAATTATAAAGGTAATAAATTTTTGTAACCAGGTGGGATTGAACCCTAGACCTTCACCTGGTGACTTATGAAGCTTTATCACTGAGCTATAGATCCATAGGTCAAAGATATTGTTTTTTTTTTTGAAGGAGCAAAAGGCTATTACACTTTATTTTATTATTATAATTTTAGACTTGCAGTACAAAAAGATATTGTTTTTTTTTTTTTTTTTTTTTTTTTATCGCAAACAAGCATTAAATGTGAGACTTTATTTAAATAAAAATATTTACTGTCATTA